AAAAAAAAAAAAAAAAAAAAAAAAAAAAAAGAGCAATTTAAATAGTAGTTTCAGAAAATCCTGTGTAGTAAAACAGATAAATACAATTATGCTTGCCTTTTTTTTTTTTTAGGACAGAAATTTATGATTTTCTCTATGTTGATGTAATTTAAATATTTGCAGCTATGTGTAAAGTTACCCATAGCTACAAGTTCCCTATGTTAGACTATCCATTTCCCTGATAAGCAAATTACACTGGGGGGGAAACAGACCAATGTTTATAATAAAATGCTTATGAGTTTAGATGCTATTAATAGAATTGAGTAGCTTTTATTAGTAGCCAATGACTGTTCACATGGTGTATTCACTTCTCCCCACCCCACAACCCCCTGTTTCATCCCGCTACAGCTACAGTCAAAAAGTGAAACCCAGGTAGAGGGGATCTGACTAGTGGGAGACGAGAGAGAGTCCCTCAGAGGACCTTTCCCTTCCTTCATCAGCTGTGTACATGGCTCTGTAGCCTACATTTGCCACTTTTTCAGATGCTGCTGCGTTACATATCCTGATTGATACTAGTGAGTGCCAGCAGAGGCCTCAAGCAGGTTTGGCAAACTTTTACAGTTCAGAGTTCATGGGATCTTGGGGTCTCTAGTGGATTCAGCAGGACTGCTGCTCTCCAGGGCTTACCTGGTCCCAGGAGGATTTCACTTGCTCCTTCTCAGCATATCACCCCAAAGTAAACAAGAATTGGGAAGGAGGGATATGAGAAAGAAAGTAGAAAGCAAAGCAACTAAATGGAAGAAGAAAGTACATCAGAGACTGTAGTAAACAAGGAACAACAGCATCCACAAGCGCCTCCTACAATTGTACTATGAAAAGTAGTACCCATAGTTGTTAGTTTGAAGTACCAAGGAGGAAAAATTAGGACAGAATCTAATTAAAGTGATTTAAATCAAATGCCTTCTAGTTCAAAACTTTGTCTCCAGAAACTCTGTTTCCCCTGTGGGCACTGAGCCCTGTCTTCTGCTACTGTCTCTCTGTGTACTGGATGCTTTCTTCCATACTGCACAGATCTGTTTTCTTCCCCCTGCCAAAGACTGGAAATGCAATGTTGCATGAAAACAATTTGTAATATAGGCTGACAGTCACTGATTATTGCCACAAATATCCTCAGCAGTTACAGAAAAAAACTTCAAAACCAACTTATTTTTAGCAACAGAAAGAATTCAAGCAACCCCATGTGGCTGCTATCCAGGCATTTACTGAGTGGAGAATAGCTTGACAAATTACAGAAATGGACAAACTCAGTGTGTAAATCAGAAAACCATGTATATCACTATTTACATATGCTTTCCTGTTGAAAAGATGAACAGAAACATTAATTTTACGGCTTCCAGTGTCAAAGGACAGAAAGACTGTTTTTATGAGCTGTGCATGAATCACAAAAACCAAAACAAAAACCTCCATCTACTTCACAGTTTGGCAGATTTCTCAACTTGCTGGTAACTAAC